GCAGTGTCCCCAAACAGAGGAGGACAGTTGCAAGCAGCTCCCTGGAGGGAGCAGCAGAACGTGGAGAAGGAGAGTTGGAGGCCTCCCGAGAGAGCAGGGCTGGGCAGGCAGGAGCCCTGGCCGGGACCCAGCTCCGCCGCCAGCTGGACAGCGCCTGTTCAGCAACAGGCAGTGAGCAGGCAGAGGGACCACAGCCACAGGAAAGGGGGTTGACAGAGTTTTCAGGTACCACTGTCCAAACCTGTCCACTCAGCTCAGTATCCAGGTTTGTCAGCCTCCCCCTCACAGGCCTGTTTATGTTACTCCAAAGTTTCCTAAAAAGCTTCTTTTTTTGGGGGGGAGGAGCAAAACCATTCTATTTTTGGTCTCAGTCCAGAGGGATTTTTTTTTTCAACTTTGATTGAATTAATCTGTCCAGCTGTTTTCAACTTGGGAAATTGAAGGGAAAATTGCATTCTTCCCATTTGAAAAGAAAATTAAAAAGATAAAATGAAGCCGTTAACATTACAGAGGTCTGGGGTTCTCTTTTTTTTTTTTTTTTAACCCAAATATTATAAACTTCCTCTTTTTCCCTTGGGAAGATCCTGCAAGTTTTGCAATGTAAACTGCCCAGCAGCAGGGATCTGGGCTACACACACACACGTATAACTACACCCTCCAGACTCCCCAGCTACACACTGCACCCACACAGCCACCCTTGTGCACCCCTGGCTTACACCAGCCTCCCCAGAACTGGGTCCTACCTGGGCACTGCACCCAGGAGCATGGGGATGGGAATCAGAGGGCTCATACATGCTCACATGGACACTTCCATGCCTTTCCTCCCAAGTAGTCTCATGCACAACCATACATGTACACCCCCACACCCACAAGTCCACATGTACAGCTGCACACCCACATTCACAGAATCATAGAATGATTTAAGTTGGAAAAGACCTCTAAGATCATCGAGTCCAACTGTAAACATGGCACTGCCGTGTTCATCACTAAACCAAGTGCCACATCTACACAGCTTTTGGATGGTGACACCACCACTTCACTGGGTAGCCTGTCCCAATGCTTGATAACCATTTCTGTTAAGAATTTATTCCTAATATCTGATCTAAACCTCTCCTACAACTACTTGAGACCATTTCCTCTTGTCCTAACCCTTATAAATGGGGAAAAGAGGCCAACTCCCATATGGCTCCAATCTCCTTTCAGGTGGTTGTAGACAGCTACAAGGTCCCCCCTTGAGCCTTCTCTTCTCTAGGCTAAACACTCCCAGCTCCCTCAGCCGCTCCTCATAGGACTCGTAGACCTTTCACCATAGGACTCGTAGACCTTTCACCAGCTCCACTGGTCTTCTTTGAACACTCTCCAGCATCTCCACGTCTTTCCTGCAGTGAGGGGCAGCCTCACACACATCCCCCCATGCACTCTGTACATCCCCCCTGTACACTCCTCCCCACGCCTGCCATACACATCCCCCATGCATGCTGAGCCCACCCCCACGCACCCCCCCATGCCCACTCCCATGTTCCTACGCACCCCTCCATCCCACTCCCATGTTCCCACGCACCCCTCCATCCCACTTCCATGTTCCCCAGCACCCCTCCATCCCACTCCCATGTTCCCACACACCCCTCCATCCCACTCCCATGTTCCCACGCACCCCTCCATCCCACTCCCATGTTCCCCACGCACCCCTCCATCCCACTCTCATGTTCCCACGCACCCCTCCATCCCACTCCCATGT